GGGGCCTCAAGGCAAATTGACGACAGCCTCGACGCAGCCGATGCCTCGACATGTCCGATAATTCGCGCCGAAGGTGCCCCACTTACCGGCGTCGTCGGGCCCAGACCAGGTGGGGCCCGACAAGCCAGAGGACGTGCCCCTTCTTGGGCCCTCTCCGTTTCGACATCCTCGGCCATTTGGGTCCTACCCATCCGCGGCAGAGCCCTACCAATCTGGGTCTATCCATAAGGCCCCGAGAAAAACTGACGGATTGCCCATATTCGATAATTCCCGCCGAAGGTGTCCCAATTGCGGGCGTCGTTGGGCCCCGTCAGGTGAGAGACCGGCTGAGTCAGAGGACGCGTCTCTCTTTTGGGCCTCTTCTCGGCGTCCGAACTCCGAAAGAGGCGAGTGGGCCTTCTTCGGGAGCCCGGATTAGCGCCGGACCTTCTCGGAAGGGGCCCCCCGGGACTCCGACACCTCCGCAAAGGGGTCCGCGGCTCCCGTGGGAAACGCGCCCTCGCGGGCCCGCGGAAGTCCTCGGGCCCCGGTTTTCGGCCCGAAATATTAATAAGTTATTGCGGCTCGATAGTTTTCCGAGAACGAGCCCTTCCGAGGGGCACAATGGGCACTCGCTCCCCGGGGGGCCCGACCGCAGAGATTCCCTCGGGATAGAGCTTTGACGACGAGACATCGCGCCGTTCGGCCGTGGGCCCGACGCCATCAGATAAGCCTCTCTCTTTCTCTCGTTTGAAGCCGACCGACGAGATTCCTCGAGTCGGGTTCGCACGCTTTTCTTACGCCGAATCCGAAAGTCGGGACACGTCGGGGGTGGAGAAAGAATATGGGCCCATTTCCCGGGCCCGACCCCCTCCACCGCTTCGAGTCACTCCGTTTTTCTTCTTCTTTCCTGCTCCACATTATACTCTCGAAGGAATTTCGCCCGTGGCCCCTCGAAACTCTCATCTGTATAAATTATGCAAATTCCGGCAAAATATTTTCAGACCGATCGATCGGGTGGTCGACGGGCCCCGACTTTGGGCCCTAGTCCTCCGACAAACGTGCAAATCGGGTCGCGGATTAGTCGCGGATTTACGTCGCCTTTTCTCTCTCTCTCCCTCTCGGGGAACCCGTTTCTTCGCCTCCGCGCATGCGCCGACGTCTGCGGTCGATTCATCGACTCTCGATATCCGATCGATCACCGCGCGGAAGTTCGGAAGTGGAGATTACCTATCGACGATCTCGTCCGGTGGAATTTACGCACGGCGATCGATCTTTTCGGGGTGATTAATACTGCCGAAAATATCCCAGTCCTAACAATAAACATGAGACAACAATTCATCTCGTGCCCGATAAATAAATAAACGTATATCTCGATAAGATTCGCACAAATCGCTCTAAAAATTCGACACGTCGGAATGAAAGGCCGGAAAAAAAAAAGAATATTAATAATATCTCGATTTTTATATATCTTAATAGCATACATCCAATAATCGCCTGAAATGGTTCCCCGGTAAGACGATCGGGGAATGGTCGAAATGCGATTCCGCGGGGCGGAATGTGTCTTTTTTTTCCTCCGCGCTGCGGCGAGGACCGGCGAACATCGAGCGTCGTCCAATCGGCAAGGATCGAGAGGATCTAGAGGATCTAGAGGCCGGAAGGATCGACTTCCCGGGCCCGTTAAAACGGCGGTAAGTTCCGGGAAAGACTGACGGTGCGCGGCTCGCGGACTGCCTTGCGGTTAAGACGCCGCGGAGCGAAGTTACGATTGGCTGCGAGTCCGCAGTACGCCCACAAGGTGCACGGTTATATAGTACTCATGTGCCATGCCGAGTTCATTCATAGTTCCACTCTAGTCTAGTCATTCATTAATCCGATAGGGCGAGAGCGTCCTCGAATCGGGAGGAGCGGGGGAGCGATCGAACGCGATATCGATACATCGATACCGCCCTCAAAGACGAGAATTTCGACTCCCAGGAACGGAGGATGCGCATAGGTGAGAGAGACACACTTCCCCCGATTTTCACGCTTAACTCCATTTTCCGATGCTTCTCCACTTTCACCACGTGACGAAGAAAGCTCCAATGGCACCCATGAAATTTTAATATTTTTTCTTTTTCTATAAAAAATTCCGGAAACACCTTACAATGAAATGTTTAAAGACGAAGCTTGTCGGGACCTTCCTTGGGACTTTCTTCCTCAGGGGGTGGATTTTCAAAGGATTGGATACCCGCAATTTGGAGATAAGTCTTACAGATGATTGATCCTATGGACGTAGATTTCATATCGCCGTAATCAGCTGATATTAATTTTAGCGTTCCAATCAGCCACCCTTCGGGCGTTCGCGCTCCTCGTTTCCCAATGGCTCCGTGTCGCAATTCCTCGTGACTCTTGACAATCCCAGTCGGTTTGACATTTAGTCGGCTGTTCTGGATCTCGATTGCGGATCCTTATCAGCCGGGCCGAAAAATCCAGCCCCGATTTTTTCTGACATTTCGAGCTCCTCGGCGATCCAGCGAAAACGCTCGCGTTCGGGTCATCGCGGCGCGATCCTTATCACGTTATGAATCATAACCGAGGCGCCCATTTCTCATCGCGCTTATGCGTCCACTTGTGTATCAGCCCACCGTCACGTAGGTCTTATCACCCTGAGAAAGGTGAGAGTGCCTCGCAGACACTCTCGATCGCGCTCGAACTGGGAAACTATCGGATATTGTTGATATCCCAGTGTACCTCTTATCACGCGAAGAATGCGGAATCGATCGCACAGTTGGGTGGATAATTGCATTGCTTGGGGGGCGGGGGAGGATTTCATTTTTTTGTCTTCTTAATTTTTTCCAAAATATTTCCTATAAGAGAGAAACAGGGATCCACGTTTCCCTAGGTCATTAGCGAAAATGGTCGGTTACCCTAGGTCAAGTACATTTTGGATGATATGAAATTTGGTGCACGGTCGAGTACTTAAATGCATTTCATGGAGTGACGCGGACGATTTTTCTCGAGGATGTTCTTTCTTTTTTTCCTTCCGCGGGAGAAACGCAGATCCAGGTTCTCCTCCGCGCGCGGCAAAGATGGGCGGCCCTCGGGGTAAAAAAGCAACCGAGTCAGGGACCCGCGGTGAGTCGCGTAACTGTGCATTACATTATTTCCGTTCCCGAGGAGGCCGGCGGCAAAAACCTCCCGCGACCGGGTTAAACCTAGAGCCGGACTGCGGCGATCGCCGGGTGTCGAAAGATCGATTTCAAGGGTTAGCCGAGTGTGACGAGAATTTTCCAGCGCGATGATGACTCGCCGGGAAACCTAGGCCGACAGAAAATTTCCGAGTGCGAAAGAGAAGAGGACGAAGGAGAGAAGAAGAGGAAGGAAAAAAAAAAAACGCGCGCGGTTGCGCAACGGCGCGCGATCCGCGACCGGGGAACTCCCATGACCGGCGATGCACCTCTGATAAAGCACCGATAGTGCACTCGAGATAAGGATCCGGACCTTCGGGAGTCACCTGTCGCAGTCGCCTCCGCGGAATTTCAATCGGAAAATCGGATTCGCAGGGAGCGCCATTTTCAGGGATAAGGCCCCGATATTGGGAATCACCTGCGATAACGCATCAAAAGTGCACCAGGGTCCCGAATGCGAATTTCAGAGTCACCAGTTGCAGTCACCTCCGTGGAGCTTTAAATGGGAAGCGAGATCCGCATCGAGGAAGGTTTCCCCGCATCGGGCCCCGATTCTGGGGGTATAGGGCCCAAATTACAACGTTTGGGGACCCGCGGCAGCTCGAGGGGGCAAAATGAGTTAAGGGGCTGCGGAGGCAATTAACGGTGTGACAGTGTAATTGGCGGGGCCCGACTCGATCCTTCCGCGGCGGGGCCCGGGCCCAAGGGCCCGTTAAGCGCCGTCGTCAAATTAAATTTTAGAGCCGTCCGTTTCGCGAGCGGGCCATCGACGAGCCGTCTAATTAGCGGGGCATAATATTCGAATAATTCCCCCGGTCAACGAGGAGCGAACGGGCCCCTGCGTTGACACGGGGCCCGATCGTTAATTCGCGGAAATTGGGGCCCTACTCGCGGAAGGGCGACGTCGGCGATAAGGCCGATAAGGATTCCCCGAGATCGGCGTCCATTTTCAAGAAAGCCCGTTATCCGTCGATCCGTCGTCGCGGCCCGTCGACGTCGTCACCGGTGACGTCACGACGACCAGCCGCGGCGTTATCATCGGGGCCTGATAACGCGTCGCGTCGCCACCTCGGATCATCGTCCAACGTCTGCGACTCAGTCCGCTGCGGAGAGGTTTCTCGCAAACCCGACACTCCACATCCTCCAGGCGATGAGGTTCGTCCGTTATCGAGTTATCAATCGAATGATCGAATCCGAGGGTCCCTTAAGCGCGTCCGATTTTTCCGCGTGAAGTAGACCAGGGGAAGAAGCGGAGAGAAAAGAAGCGACGAGTCCGGATGACAAGGTAGGGAAATTAATGTCTGACGACTCGATGCGAGAATGCGGAATGAAATGCGGAACGAAGCCGCGTGGTTTGGGGTGGAGTAGCTGGGGATCGCGAAACAAGAGACGGAGTATCATCAAAGGTCCTATCATCGAATCATCCATCCAACCACCCGACCCTCCGGATCCTCTCGAATACCTTCCAGGGCGAGAACTCCGAGGTCAAGTCCCAAAGTGAAATCGCGTCGATTTTCCGAGGATTTCGGAAAAGCGACGCGACGCCCATCGAGGGCAGTCGGGAAAAGCGGCGTCTGGAGAGCGGGACTGGGTTGTCGGAGCGATAGGTGTAATGAAATCGCGTGGTCCGGGGCCGGGGCCGGGCCCGGGGGCCCCGGGGCGCGGGGCCCTGTCCGTATCCCCACACGTGAGGGTGGACGCGCTGGTGGGGCCGACCGGGCGGGAAGGAGAGAGGCGGACTCCGCAGGAGCGAGCGAGACCGGCCGAGAGCGGGCCGAGCGAGTAACTGGGAGTCGAGACTCGGGACCCTCTCAGTCACCACGAGATCGGCAAGCCGAATGGTCACCGTGGCCGCTCCTCCTCCCGAGGGAACCACCACCGGGCACCTCGCCTCGAATGTCACCTACGCGTCGGCTGCGTGCGGCCGCACCAGCCAACCCGGCCATGGCCGATCCGTCGGTCCCATCCTGAGGGGGCCCGATGCTGGACGTCCGCTTCCAGGACCCGCGTCCAGGCAGGACCGAGTCGGCCCCGACCCCCTGAGAGTTCCACCCCGAAGAGGGACCCAGGCGAGGCTAAAGTGCGCGAGTGGATGAGACCGGTCCGGACCACCCTGAGGACCCCTGGAGGACTCTCCTGCGCGAGGAACGGCGAGAGATGATCTTCGAGCTGCTGGTGGCAGGAGCCCTCGCCCGAGCCACACTAAGGCGGTGTGTGTACATTGCTGGATTCTATCGATATTGGCCCATTGACTTGCGACCCCTCCACTCGATCGGTCCCACCCTGAGAAAATGCGTTAATCGTCACCCCTGTCGCTAAACCACCGCTGGTGCCCTGAGATCAAAAAGACATCCACCGGACCAAGGAAATGCACTTTCAAGTCGTGCAATTAATTCCTCTCATACGTTTCACTCGATTCTCAGACGGATCTTTGTTCTATTAGTTCAATGAGGATTTCTTTGGTCAGTCGTGCTTTCCGTCGATGAACTTTTTTTTTTCGCCGCTCCCGTACTAGCTTTAGAATTTAGCTGGAATTTTTGGGATTTTCTTTTGGCAACGTTTAACGTTGATTTTCCTCGGTGCACCGGGAATCTTAACGAATCTGGATCATTTTCCATTCTCATGGTCTCATCCATGTTCGTTGATTGGATTATTCGCTGATCGGGTTAATCGAAATTCAGGACTCGCTCTAACCGGAGATTAACTCGTTAACCGAGGTGGGTGGAACCGGGGAGGTCGGGCGATCGGTGGTTTAACCTCGAGACCCGCAAACGGGACGATGTAAGTCAATGGGTTAATCTTAACTTTATCTCGCTCGCCATACCTGGATATGTATCGATTTGCGTGGATGGTCCTTAAGATTTTACTCGTCCCTCGGGATGAGACCTTGCGAGATCCCCGGACGATAAGGACTCATCTGTCCTAACCATTTTTATTTTTTTTTAATAATTTTTGCAATCCTTCCGTGCCATGTCCCCGGCATTACATTAATTCACCTTATCACTGCATTCCGAATCCCTCCAGTCTAGCGATAACTCTCGATATCGATCGCAGAAACGAGACGCAATTGATTGAAAGTGCCGCCGATTGGGCGAATTTAAAATGAAAAGGAAAAGTGGACACGAATGATACGGAATCAATAATAAATCTGACGAATCCCCATTGACTTATTTTTTCATTTCTCTTATCTCTCTCTCTCTCGCTAAAAAAACGCCGCCAAAGCGCTCGGATATATCGCGAGACGCCGCGGATACTTTATCGACCTCGATAAACCTCTATCACGGGCCGACAATATCAGCTTTTCCGCGTCCGCGTTATCGCGCGACATCGGAAGTGCAAAAACATCGACTTGCGAAATCGAACTTTTTTCTCCCCCTCGAGGTTTCCTGCCCTCCGAATCGCGCCCTAATCGACTGATTACGAGGTTCCTCGGCACCCCGTGATAACAGTTCATCTGACTTTTATACCCCAGAATTTCTTCCACCGGTCCCAAAATTCAGGAATAAAGGGGAGATCGAGTCGTCAGAGTCTTATCACTGCTTATCGAGTGCATTTCGAGTACGCCAACAATCTACACGTCGGTGCCTATTTTTTCATTACCTTCATACTTATCATTCGATTCATCGCGGCTCATTCATTGGAAATTTTCATTTTTTAATCAGTCATTTCGGGTGTTGGCATCCTTTTTTACGAATTCGGTAAACAAGGGTCGTTCAATTTTACATAAATTTCCCGGTTAATCTCGACTGGCTTGTCGGGAAGTTTTCCGCGGAAAATCTGCATTTCCTCCATTTCGGGGGGGTGGGGGTCGACGTCGCGACGCCGTCTATCCAACGCGTTCTTTTTACGATGAATTCGGTAAACGAGTGACTAAGCGATAACTGACTCAGGGCTGGGGCCTCCTTCCCGGGTGTTTATTTGGCTTCGCTCTTGGAAGTTAAGTAGACGTCGCGACGCCGCTCCGCGGATGATAATATTTCAATTTCGTCGCCGGTTTAGTCACTTTTCCGGCTGTTTATTTTCCCAGGCCCTTCCCCTTAGAAATCGACAAGTCGATTCATCGACTCGATCCCGACTAGCGGCCAGGACTCCGCGTGTTCGCGGCCGATCGGGGATATCGATTCCGGCCGATCGCCGATAAGTGCGATCAATCGAATCGCCCCCCTGTAGGTCTTTCTCGAGTGTCGCCTCAAACTTTCCTAAGGCTTCCGTCCCCACGGTTTGTTCTTTCGTGTCCTGCAAGTCGATACCGATCGACTCGACTTGCGCCCCATAGGTAACCCCAGGTAAAAGGGAGAATATAAGTGAAAGTTAAAAAATAAAAACACGAAAAAAAAATTAAGAAAATTAAGAAATTCGGAGTTTAGGCACCCCATGTATAAGAGTAAAATCCGAAGGGGTGGGAAATCAATTGAAAACAAAAACGAGTAAATCGAGGAAGTCGGAGTTCAGGAACCTCTGGTCCATCGATAAGCGATCCGCGTTCGGCAAAAATCAGGGTCCCGAGTGAGAGGAGGGCGGAGGAGGGAAAAAAAAAATGAGAAAGAGAGAGAGGGAGCGCAGCCTCCGCTGGACCGGCCGCTGTTGGCCCAGGGCACACAAGATCCGTTTGTTCTGGAACCATCGAGGACCCTTTTTTTCCGCGGGGCGAGAGAGTCACAACACTAGTAAAGTTACAAAGCGAAGGCAAACAGATCCGGAGACGGGGCTTAACCAGTTTATCAAACAACCGAACCCGTCGAGAGGGTCTCCCCTGCGCCTCTCCTCGGGTACAGGGGAGAGATGTCCTCGAGCAGGTCGCAGGACGGTCGGGGGTGTCGAGGAGGGGCCAGGACTAATTCTGGGCCAGGTCGAATCCTGCGGTGGGATATGGGGCGAACCACCCCCCGGGATGCTGGGGCAGTCCCGAGGGAGGAGCCAAGCGGCGCAGAAGCGGGATGCCCGGTGGTAACCTCCCCTACGGCTACCCCGGACGAATCTAGGGGCGAAGAGAACTATAAAAGTCGAGGGTGGGGAATTTTCGAGGGGACCAGATGAAGAATAACCATCGTTGGGATTCCCTGGATGAATGTAGGGCGGGCGTTCCTAGGGCTCGACCCCGAAGGGATGCATGAAACTCAGGGTGGGGATCTTCGGGAATCCACGACGACGAGTACCGTCCTCTCGCGCTCCCTTACCCTGAGAGAATCTCTCTAGAGTTTCCCTAGACGAGGATGGAGATCGCCGCTAGGGCTCGACCCTGAAGAACCGGAGAAAATGGAGGTAGAGAGAGATCTCCGGGACATCGCGACGAAAGGAGAGGACAGGGGCCAGGAGAGACCCTCTCCTGCTTGTGGTTTCGGGTTCACCAGGGTTCACCAGACGGCGCGGGACAGGCGGGCCCTCTTCACCGTGAAATGAAAATATTATGGCAGCCCCGAAGAGAGCGGGCCCCGGCACTCCGGGACCGATCGCGACGCTCGAGGTGCGGCCCGTAGGGCCCAACCTGTCGCCGGGCCCGAGAGGGCCCCGGTCCCCTCTCGGATCGTCAAAACCTACTTTAATTATTGCCGACCCCATAATCGTCCATCACGTCGCGCACCTATTCCGACCCTCGCTCTCAAGGTACCCACGCGTCCCCGTACCGATTTCGTTATCGCACCCCGTAAACCAGGCCGCGCCCTTAAACGCGCCGCGGATTAGAAAAAGGGGGTTAAAAAAAAGAAATGAACAAATGAACATCCCCACCGAGAGGATTAAAAACCCACTACGAGGCGAGCATCGCGATCGTAACTCCATCTCTGGTTTTCTCGACGACAGGAAAATTGTCACGTCCCGTAAGGATGTAACTGATAAAAAGTTGTTCCTTCTCCTTGAATATACTAACTTCACGTTATCCTTATTGAAACGCGTGCCTAAGAAAATGTGGGGTACGGGTTTCTGGTCCTTTCTTATTTTTTTACACTTTTTCCTCGGATCACTTTCATAATTACGGACACATACGGCGAAATTGAATCGGCCGGCATTTCTTCCACTCGGTGCAAGAAGTCCCTGGGGTTTCGTTATCCACGGGGCCGGTGGCTAATTGCTCGGATTTTACGAGGGCATTAAGTATCGGCATACCCGAGAGGAGCGTGCTCGCTCTTCCTCTCGACTCCGGGCCCGATAATATTCATATTTATTGCGGCCGGCCGAATTATCCCGGCGTCACGGCTACCTGCAAACGTGGCCATAATTGGAAAATATTGAACACCACGCGCCGGGGAAGGAGGAATAAAAAGGTAAAAAGGAGGAGAGAGAAAAGAGGCAAAGGAGGAGAAGGAACGATTTTCGCATGCATTCGAATATCACCATAAAGGTCGCCCATTCTCTCTCTTTCTCTCGTCCCACCTCCCAGTCGTAAGGAACACCCTGATATGATTAACGGACGCGGCCGGAGGAGAGACGGGATAAAAAGAATAAGGATGGGAAAAGGGTCGGCGCACGAGTTATTTTCGCGGCCGGGACCGTCCCGGACATCGGGCCCAGATTTCGGGCCCGACCAGACTCGGCGGTCCCACCGCGCGGGTGGCGCGGCAGAAAAGTGAGGCAATGTTTAAATTACACGCCCCGTGCCAGAAAACGCGGGAGGAAAGGGGAGCTTTATGAGGCCCCATACGCGTTACGTCCCGCCACCTAGCATAGCCGTAATTATGGCCTCTCGAAGTCAAAGGCCCGTTTTCTCGGGGCCTTTCCGAGGGACCGAGACGAGCGTTTCCCGTTCCTTGTCTCCGATCCTCCGGGAAATACTGTCAAATTTTTACCTCATCTCGCCAACCATTTTTATGCACCAATTTGTACGAAAATTTAAATGGAATTCAAAGTTTTCTTTCATTTTTTTTATTTATTTTTTTTTTTCATTCCTTTCAAAAGAGAAATTGCGCCGAGAGGCGTTCAACGACGTCAGGAATTTTTTATTCTAACCTACTAGGAGTTTTGTAAAAACGATCTTGGAATATGTCAATTTATAAGGAACGTCTCATTTGGTTGGCATGATTTTTTTCTTTTTTTTTTCATTATTCACTCGCGGAGGGGGTATCGCACGGAGAGGTACATGCTGCTCAAGGGGACACCCCTTTGTGCATCGCGCTCGGAGGTCCTGGGGACACTGAAAGGGGTTCGACGAGGACACGGGACGAGAAGACAAGTCCCTCTGCGCAATGGTTCACCACCTGACGCCATCGATCCTCGC